AAAATCAATGTTGAACATTGTACTTTTCGAAGCTTTGCCTCGTTTTTTTGGCGAACTTATCAACGTAAGATTTTTCAATGCTTTGCGATCCCCTCATTTCTCTGCTCTTCTGGGAATTGCTTTTTTTATTAGTTCAGTTAAATGAAGGAAAGATCAGTTTGGATGTTTTTACAGCTGTTGCTAATGAACCCTGAAACTGCTCATGATGCAAGCTGAAGACGAACCAAACCACACGACGGACTAGACGGAACGATTTTTACACTGCACTGAATTACCTTAGACATGTACCGGCTTTGCTATATCGGGGTTCGGGAATTTGATTTTGGTCTTGCTTGTGGTTCGATGATGGGAAAACCGGCTCTTCTTTGATTCCTGAACTCGTTTCGACAATCATTGGTTTACTGGAAAGGCTCGACATGCCTTCAGCTTGCTTCATGTTCAGTTTCTTGGCAAAGAAGCCAACGCTAGCTTTGCTGTCGGATGGTACCGATGTAACAATATTTTAATTAAAAAATGTGTTATCTTTTGAGAAACTAAGAAAACAGTACCAACAAATAATTAATAAATTACGCTGTACTTTGAGAAAAAACTTGGAGAAACAGTGCCAACAAATAAAATGCACTTATTGGGACTACGTTTTTTTTTCAAATATTTGAAGAATTAAAGTTGCACTATTTGTATCAAAAAGAGTGCAAATTTTAGCGCTTTCAGGTGATTACTGTTTAGCTATGATGCAGCTTTACGCCCTACTGTTCCTTGGTGTTTGTGAGGCTTTGTTTCCAAACAGACTCTTGAGACAAAATGACAGTGTTTATGAATACTGGTTCAATGTAAGTTTGCTTTTCGAACAAATTTTTTTTTTCTTAATATTTTTTTTAGACAATGTTTATTGCTTTCATATTGTATCTTCAGTTTGCTGATGGTTAAATACTGTATTCAGCTTTGCCCCGTAATTCGAAATTCTTTCCAGCAAACTCCCATTCCGGGTCCAGGAAGGGAGCGTTAAAAAAGATGGGCCAGTCAATAGCTGACTACAGCTACTTATTTCTGTTAGCTATCCCAGACATTTTTACGATCTTTCTAAGTCCTCATTTTTAACAGTTAATTCGCATTCTGTTTTCCCATTTCGTTACACTTTGCCGTCATAGCAACAACATTCATTTCATTCTTCGACCACAGTGATTTATTGCCTGTTGTTGAATGACCAAAAAAGTCTATCAAATTCAACCATGGCCAGTGCTCATTCAGATATCTGTCAAAACGGAGCCAATCCAGGAAGAAATATATATTCGAACACTGACACAGTTACTGAATGGTGGAATGATCGGAGCACCAGAAGTGCTACAACTTGGACAGAATCTCATACACCTTATTCAGGCTAAAAAAGTTATTGATATCGGTTGGCCATTTTAAAGCAAATATTTAGACAATTCCAAATACCGCGTCCGATTGTCCATTTTTAGAATTCAAGGAACTTATCCTTGTGGTCTGATTAGCAACAATGCAGTCACAACAGCAACCCAAAGCTGAAAAGACTAGCCTTTCTCCTATGTAATGCAGCGCTGAAACAAGCTATTCGGCTCTTAAAATCCTAGCATGCTTAATCCACGAATATCATATAGTAGTATGCTATCGAAATAGCAGTGGATTGCTGAGAAAGTAAGCCTAGCACTACTGCATGGAACCAAAAAAAGATTTTTCGGACCTTTTCCAGACGGCAAAATTTCCTGAAATACAGGATGGCTAAATACTCCCAACTGCTCAATCAATTTTTTGTTTATTCCTTACAATTTCCGGCACGTTTACTGGTGCATCGGCTGTTGCTTGGGCTCTGGCGCTGCCCGATCGTAGCGAAGTACTGACCATTGATATTGACCCGATGTATTACGATAATATTAGCCGTGAACTGATCAATTCAAAGCCAAACATTTTCTCCAAGATCAAACGGCATGTAGGCCCAGCTCTTGCAAAACTGGGTAAGTGTATTAAGGATTTTGCCAGTTAACCTCGCATGAAGCTCTCCGTTAATTTCGAAATATCAAACAAAAACCTATGGAAATTTAGATGCTTTTTTTAATGAACCGGCAGTCTACTTTCATGAATTGCTACCTTAATGACCCCTCTTCAAAAAAAACCTGAGCTCAGTTATAAAAATTTAGAAACAATGTTAGCTGCTGGAGATGCAGGCAAATGGGATTTCGTATTTATTGATGCAGACAAATTTAATTATCCACAGTACTACGAGAAAGCTGTAAAGCTCGTACGACCTGGTGGAGTTATCCTTGTGGACAATGTGCATTTTTTGATCATTCGCACATGATGCATGTTTTTTGATGAATTTCATGATTTGAAACCGAGCAGACCACTTGCAAAACTCATG